ACTTATGAGACATTACTGCTATCCTCACTTTTTCTCTCAGTCTATTGAAACTGTGTACATTGAGGGAATGGTCCCAAGAATCTTATGCTAGAAAAAAGGAAAGGCTGATGCCCTATGTCAGGTAGAGGGAACACTTCCGTCTCAGAGATTATGCAGAATTCTAGCAACTCCTCACACCACCTTGCAGGAAAAACTGGAGCCTAGAAAGGGATGATGGACAGAGCCATACCTTCACCACAAGTTCTTAGATAATTTGTTCCTTTTGCTCTCTGCTGAGGAGATTGAAGTTACCTCCTCCCAAAACTCCAGTAAGCAAAAATTTTATGAATTTTATTTAAATTAGAAACAATCTTATTTTATATATTAATATATATCAATTTCAGTTTCCTGTCCCTCCCATCCTTCCATGTCCCCCACTAAACCCCTCCATCCAGTAAGAAATTTAATCCCATGTCAGGGATAGCCTCTGTTCTTCCCAATGTGGTCACATTGCATAAGTCTACAGGTTTCTGCTTCTCATTATTACTGTCTCCTTAATAAGCCTATTGGGTATTCAGTATTTCAAAGGTCTTGGCCCTGACTCTTGCTGAAACACCAAACAGCACAAAAGAATAGTACAATGATTTTGTCCTGTCACTGCTTCCTTCTGAGGGTCAGAATCCCATACCACTTGGTTGTGGTGTCATACAGACATAAAAAGAAGGTGATCAAATTGTCAAACTTACCTCTCTAGAGCAGCAACAGATTGCAGGTCTCTTTTTCTGACTCAAGTCTTTTCACACATTCAGCTTAGTTAGAAAATTTGAGATTTAATATTAGCTTGCAGGCTAGCAATCACCTTGCTTATGTGGTGCTAAGGGCTTAAGTCTCAACAGAGCAAGTTAAAAATTACTGGATTCTTAAGGGCTTGCCTCAGAAGTAGACAGCATCCTGCCCACCCTATTCTAATGGCTAAATTCACACCAGGGGCTTTCCTTGATGGACAACTAGATCTTGTTTTAGAAGCATTAGTAACGGAAAAATATTATTAAAATCATTCACACAAGCAAGAGAAACAAGACTTACTATAATGCCATTGGCATTACTCACAATAATATATAAAAATTTTAATGTATAATATGTTGCCAATAATGTGTATGATAACACAAGCATACACACACACACATATATATGTATATAGATAGATAGATAGATAGATAGATAGATAATTTACATGTATATATTCCTTTGCTTTAATTGTCACTAGGTTCTTATGAGTAGATATTGGTTACTGTGAAATTAATTTTCCCAAATCTCTCACATTTTGAAACAATATCTTTTAATTCAAAGCCTGGATTAAATTCATCAGCTTGGTTTCAGATTTCCATATTCTCATGTAAGCCCCCAAAAATCTGGTGTTCAGCCTTCAGAGTTACAGAAATCAAGAGGTAGAATTCACTATTTCAACCTTGAATGTCTTGAATCTGACGTTTTTGTATACCATGGATAGTCACATTAGAGAATTAACAGTACAACTGAAAGCCTTAGAACAAAAAGAAGCAAACTCACCCCAGAGGAGAAGACCCCAGGACATAATCAATTTGAGAGTTAAATCAATAAAGTAAAAACCAGGAAAACAATACAAAAAAACAATGTAACAAAGAGTTGGTTTTTCAATAAAATCAACAAGATAGACAAACCTTTACTCAAACTAACCAAAAAGCAAGAAAGAACATGCAAATTAACAAAGTTAGAAATGAAAAGGGGGGCATAACAACAGACACTGAGGAAATCTAGACAATTTGGAAAACCTGTACTGCACAAAATTTTAATATTCAAATGAAAAGGACAAATTTCTGAATAACTATCACTTACCAAAATTAAATCACAAACAGATAAGCAACTTAAATAGACCTATAAGCCCTAATGTAATAGAAGCAGTCACCAAAAGCCTCCCAAACAAAAAGGCTCAGAGCCAGATGGCTTCAGTGCAGAATTCTACCTGAAATTCAGAGAAGAGCTAATACCAATACTCCTCAAATTGTTCCACAGAATAGAAGCAGAAGGTTCATTACCAAACTCTTTTTATGAGGCCACAATTACCATGGGTGTTGCCTATCTTTCTCTCGACGCATACTAGCAGTCATGTTCTAATATGCCTAGATTTTACAAGTGTTCTGCAGAAACAAGCATAGATTATTCTTCTTGAACATCAGAAGATTGGCTCTCTGAGCTATGCTCTCATCTGAAGAGAAGTGTGCAACTCATTAAATTAAGAAAACCAACAAGATAAGCATGGTAGTATCAGGCAGGAAGGATACTTTCTCATTTTCCATTTATGAGAGAGAGAGAGAGAGAGAGAGAGAGAGCATGAAATCGGTAGGGGTTCATGATAGATGGGATTTAGATGGAGTTAGGAGGAAAGTAAAGATGATATTGCTATGTTTTATTATATCCATGTATGGAATTCCCAAGAGGAGAAAAAAAAAGAAACTTCAGTAAACAATTTTAAAAACCTTAATTAAAACCCTAAAATACAAACAGATGAAGAGTAATCAAGGAAAGACATAGGATTTTAATCTCTGGCTTCCACATGTATATGTACACAAAGCACCCATACCTACATGCAAATGTGCACATGCCCATATGACTTTCTACACCCACTATATACACTCACACAAACACACACACACACACACACACACATGCACACACTAACTCACATTGCAGGATATTCAATCATACTATGAACCCCCCAAGTTTGCATTTGCATTAATTAAATAAAATCAACTTTGGGTCAAGAGGGTGAGCCAATAACTAGTTGACAATAATCATAAAGTGTCAGGGGGAATCTGGTAGATGGATAGAGAGATGTCAGGAAGTAGTAGGAAGAGACATTGAATGTGGCAGTCTTTTTGATTTGGAGGTGTGGATGGATACTCTCTTTCTGAGACTTCAGTGAAGAGAGAAGTTCAGCTATTTGCTCCTCAACCTCTCTGAACTAGCAGGTTTTTCACTCCAGTCTCTGATTCTTGAGTCTGATTGATAAATAGGATGATAAAGATTTAGTTAGAAACTACATTTGGTGGCAGCAGCAGGAGGCATATCTGACCAGATGTAAAGGTCCTGTCTAGCTGCTGCCTGAGAAGCCAGTCAGTGACTGAGCCACAATTACTGGCTGAAACAGCAGTAGATCCAGGTGCAGCCAACACTTCTCCTAGAAGAATGATGTTTCTACTCTTCTGATATCACTGAGAAATGATACCTGACCTAATACTTTGACTTTGATATGATATTTTCAACCTCTGTTACCTTGTTACTTCACATAGAATTCTGTCATGCCATATGTCATGTGCCCTATTTCACCTATCAACCCAAAGTAGTCCGAAGAAATCTGCTAACATGATCTTTTAAAAGTATTAATCATAACCTGCCCCCTTTCTACTTCACAAATTCTCCACTAATTCATATTAATAATGAAACTAAAGTGCTTTTCCAAAAATTACATGAGAATAAAAAGCTGTTTTAATACTAGTTTATTCCAAAAAGTATTATCAATGAACTGTCAGAAATCAGACTAGAGGTGTTTTCCATAAAGAAATGCATTTTATCCTCATCATATCATCTTAACTCTAAGCTTAAGGTATGTATGCTCAATTGTTAAAACTATTACTTCTGCCTTATTTGAATGTGCTTTTCTTACATAAAATTTATGGGAAAGTTTCAAATTTCCTATAGTTATATTTTTAAACTAGTATTTCTCCTTATAAAGGTACACTATTCATGTAAATAAAATCATATTAATTTTTGTTTATTTCAATATGTGCCTTGAACAGTACCTGGTATTTTATATCTGTTACAACACACATGAATATTAAGTGTGTGTGACTTCATTTGCTACAAAGCTATGTGCTTTGTACACACACACACACACACACACACACACACACACACACACATATATATATATATGAAAAGTATTCCCTGTGCTCCACAAATTCTACGTGGAATAAAACGTCTGTTTTTTCTGTTAATTTTTGTTTTTGGTTCCTGTGGTTTTATTTTTCAAATATAAATATAAATATAAATGTTCTGGAAGTAAAATTTCTAAATATTAGTAAATCCTGACATTTTGAGAATTGTGACACTTTAGTGTCACAACAACCTGCTCTGGCTGGTCTACAATAGGAATCATTGTTTTATTCATGTTGTCCACACCTACCCATTAGTCACTCAGCAGCTACCTATGTTACCAGATGGACTATCTCGCTGTGACTGACTGTGGTTGGGTAACACTTCTGCTGTGTAGTATTATTAAAGGGTGATGGTGACAACTTGGGGAATTGGGAGTGAAAGAGTCAAGCATTAAGTGACTCCTACAGGTGAAAAGTTGGAAGTTTTCAATTTAATAATGACAGTTAAGAAAAACAAACTAACATATTATGGTCACTAAAATCTGTGTTAAAAATAAATATTAACTGTCTGATATGGTAAGGAAAAAGACACTTTTTCTCATTTTTCAGACATAAAATGGTGAATGATAACTGGTTAGTCTTTGTAAGAAGTATGTTTTTTCTCCCGCTGCTGGTCTTGTCCCGCCGCTGCGCCAGCAAGCCCCAGTTAACACACCGAGACTCTGTATTTGATATAATGCTGTTGGCCAGGTACTAGTTTCTTATTTGCTAGCTCTGTGTTAAGTATTAACCCATTTCTGTTAATCTAAGCATTTCCATGTGATTTCATCTTACCGGCAAATGGGGCCGGCATCTGGTATCCCCAGTCTCTCCATGCTGACTCCTCCTTACTATTTCCTCTTTCCTCCTTGTCTCCTAGTCTTGCCCATTTTGCTTTCCCATTTTCCTACAGTGCTTTATTCATTAACCAGTATGAGAACCATATTTACAGAATGATATCTCCTATCAAGTTCACATGTAGAAAACACTAAATTTGTATTCTTATGTCCAAACTGGGGAAAGCGTCAAATGTACATTTATGTCTGTAGTTTCATTTTTTTTTCTTTTCAGAGAAGAGTGCAAACTCAGTCCCCCACTGCCACAAATTATGCAGTTTAGTTTCCTGAACTTGGGGAAATTACAGGGGTCTGCATATCTGGAGTGAAGTAGATTAGCCTAGCTCAGAGAACACCATCTTTGTGATCATGGTAGCTCCCTGGCCACATAAGTATATGTTCATAGTTTCAGAGAACCAGTTACAAAATAAACACCGATGATTTCTGGAAGCACAAGATCTTTGCATTCATAGATAGTTCAAGGGAAACCATAAATGTTAAACATACAGATTTGTCACTTTAACAAGAGGTGTAAAACCCACTTTCTACCCAGAAGCCTGGAAATAGAAGTGGCTAATAGTGTTGGTGGCTCTTGTCCTCTCTGTAAGGTCAGGCATTACCTAGATTCCTGGTGGAGTCACATTTGAAGTACTAATAATCTAATAATCTAGGTGACCACCAGGCTATCTGTAGACCCAGTCCACATCTGATTCCCAAAGACTCTTGCTTTTCTCAGTCATATCCCTATAACTTTTATTGAACATGCTTTGTCAGGCAATCTATAGAAGGTAACTTTTTGAAAGAGGTCACATGTGCTTTGCAAAGAATTTCAATGTAGTCATGCCTGAGTTCTTATTGTGCACAAGAAATTAAGATAATTGCTACTAGGAAATCTTTCTCCTAAATTGCACTATGCTTAAATATGGCTAAAATAAACTGCCTGCTCTTAGCCTCTAAAAGTTTGAACCAACACCAGCTACTTATTCTTGATGAACAAGATTTATTTCTTGGTCCCACTGATTGTTACTCTGCCAGCCTTGTTGTTTGCAAAGACATCCTACTGTGTGTTAATAGGGTCTGGTCCCACCACCACGCCAGCCCCTATTAACACACAGAGATTCTGTATTTGATATAATACTGTTAGCCAGTTAATTGTTATTTGTTAGCTGGCTCTGTTTTAATTATTAACCCATTTCTTTTCATCTAAGTATTTCCACATGGTCTCATCTCACTGGAGAGTGAGCCTCGACCTCTCTTTTCTCTCGGCACTAAATGCTGACTCCTCCCTACTACTTTCTCGAATCCTCCTTGTCTCCTAATTCCTCCTATCTTGTTTTCCTATTGGCCAACAGTGCTTTATTCTTTAACCAGTATGGGAAATATATTTACAGAATGACATCTCCCATCATCTCCTCGTAATATATAAACTCTAGAAAAGATAGAGACGTCTTTCCTGGTTAGTCACCTTAAGTTCTTCTGTAATCTTCCATCTTCAACCCATAGGCCATAGTTTGTCTGGAAGACTCTTCAGTAAAGTAGGAAAGTTTAAACTGTATTTTTGTATTGGCAGTTTGTCAGTCACTTTTTTCTGTGTCCTGCAGACTGCCTGGCATACTCTTCCATGAATCAGGAACTTTGTAGCAATGTCCATCTTGAATCAGCAGTCACTTTTCTGTGGGTCCTGCATGTCCAGTTTGTACAGTATAAAGTCAAACATTCTAGACAAGAGAAGTATCTTATTCAAATGGCTAGTCTTGCCATTTTGGAAGCAAACTCCATAACGAGTTTCTTTGATGTCCATCTTTCTTTCTGGCACAGGTGGTGTTGCCAGGAGCAGTTGTGCCTTACTGTCAAGAAAAATCCAAAACCATTTTAAATGCCATATTCTGTAGGCCTTTGATAGGTTTGAAGAATGCCTATCCATCTCAAATATATCTCTATATATCTAGAAAAACTAACTAACACTATAAATTTTGACTCTTACAGGTAATTATCTATAATCTGTACTAAATTATATATTACATGTTTAAATGAGCTATATACACACAATACCTAAACAAGAGGAGAAATATACATATCACAAAATTGACCTTAAATTGTATTAGTAAATTAAAATCCATTCCAAAACAAAGTATTCATATCTACACCATAATCCCCTTTTAAACTTTAAAAAGAATTAGCTGTTATCATTAACCATTTATAACCAACCCCATTTAAACGAAAACAAACATTTTTAAACAATATTTGGGAATTTAGGTATAGTTCTTTCCAAATTGCTTCCTGCTGATAGGGGGTTCTGTCATTAGGGGTCCTAAGAAGATGAAGAAATCTTGGCTGTCGTCTGAAAGGCCTTCTTTTTCAAGCTGTTTTGAATTTTGTTTGTTTGTTTTTTTTTTTACTTTTTCTTAAAGAGTTATTTATTGTTAATGACAATCAAAGTTTATGTATTCACATGTACAAAGTGGTGCTTTGAAGTATGTACAAACTGGAATGGTTGATTCAGTTTAATGATTATATAATTTTTTCACATACCTAATCATGGTTGTTACCAATTATGATGGAAAACATGAGACACTTAAAACAGCCTAGAAAATTTCAATACAGAACATTTGTATTAAAAATATCTTGTATTAGTTTTCAAAATCTAGGTGTATCAATTCAGAAAATTCCACACTTACTATATCAAGTCCTATTACAATGTGAAGAAAACACCTAAGTATGAGCTTCTCAAAGAATCTGGTGTTTCTTTTCCATATTTCAAGCACATCTAATAGCTTGAAATGTTATTTACTCACTTCATTCTGCTACAGCTTTATGATGGGAGATGTCATCCTGGATGCTTTGAATATGTTTCTTTTTTTCCCCAATTTTAATGCATTTTATTTTATTTGTTTACTTTTTTATTTAATTTTATATAACAAAGTCCAATTAAATGAAAACAAACATTTATACACAATATTTGGGAATTTTGGCATCGTTCTTTACAAACTACTTACTGCTGGTAAGGGGCGCTATCTTGGGGGATTCGAAGAAGATTCAGATATCCTAGCTGTAGTCTGTAGGGCTGTTTTGTCCAGCTGTTTTGAATGTAGGATCAGCTTGTACTCTGTTTCAGGCGGTCTGGCGTGATCAAACCACATTAGTCTGGAAGGAATCCACATCTTTTCATTTTCTGTGGAAACAAAAATAGAAATCCTTTTCCCCAGTAACTTGTCCGTCAACCTAAATGTTGGAATCAAAGCATTTTTTTTAATTTAATTTATTATTTTATATGTCGATACCAGTTCCCTCTCCCTCCCTCCCTTCCTCCCTCCCTTTCAGCCCTAGCTCCCTCCTTCCCTCCCTTTTACCCTCTCTGCCCTCTCACATGCACTCTAAAAACCCTCCCCTCCCATCCCCCCACCCCAATTCCATATGTAGGGGAATGCAATCCAGTTGGGGTCATGTAGATGTGACAGGTCCTGTGAAGTAGGGACTAGGGCTTCTCTCCTGTCTCTAGAATAAGGCAGTTATCCCTCCATGGGGGATATGTTTGCAAAGTCCTTTTGTGCACCAGGGATACATCCTGGCTCCACTGTCTGAGGTCTCTTAGACTGCTCAGTCCTTTTGGCTGAGACCCATATTCAAGGGGGCCTGAGTCAGTCCCATGCTGGCTTCCCAGCTATCGATCTAGTGGCCATTAGCTCCTCCTTGTTCAGGTAAGTGGTCTCTATGTATTTCTGCCTCATGGTCTTGTCCTCTCCATCTGCTTCTGGGTTCTAGTTCAACTCAGTGTTTATGTATGGGTGTTTGCTCCTATTTTCAACAGGCATTAGTTGAAGGCTCCATGGAGAAGTTAGTTGTTGATCTCACTCTCCAGGAAGGGCATTTGATCCATTTGGACTTGAGTTTTGTGCATAGCGACAGACATGGGTCTATCTGTAGTCTTCTACACACCCTCATCCAATTGTGCCAGCACCATTTGTTGAAGATGCTGTCTTTGCCCCATTGTATAATTTTAGCTGTTTTGTCGAAAATCAGGTGTTCATAGGTGCGTGGATTAATATCAGGATTTTCACTTCGATTCCATTGGTCTACCTGTCTATTTTTATGCCAATACCAGGCTGTTTTCAGAACTATAGCTCTGTAGTAGAGCTTAAAGTCAGGAATGGTGATGCCTCCTGAAGTTCTTTTATTGCATAGAGTTGTTTTGGCTATCCTAGGTCTTTTATTTTTCCATATAAAGTTGATTATTATCCTTTCAAGGTCGGTGAAGAATTGTGGTGGGATTTTAATGGGGATTGCATTGAATCTGTAGATTGCTTTTGGTAAGATTGCCATTTTTACTATGTTTATCCTACCTATCCAAGAGCATGGGAGATCTTTCCATTTTCTGGTATCTTCTTTAATTTCTTTCTTTAGAGTCACAAAGTTCTTATTATATAGGTCTTTTACTTGTTTGGTAAGCATTACACCAAGATACTTTATGTTGCTTGTGGCTATTGTAAAGGGTGATGTTTATCTGATATCTTTCTCTGCCTCTTTGTCATTGAAAAAAATAGGGCTACTGATTTTTTTGAGTTTATCTTGTATCCTGCTCAGTTGCTGAAGGTGTTTAGCAGCTGTAGGAGTTTCCTGGTAGAGTTTATTGGGTCGCTTATGTAAACTATCATATCATCTGCAAATAGAGACAGTTTGACTTCTTCCTTTCCAGTTTGGATGCTTGATCTCCTTTTGTTGTCTTATAGCATTAGCTAGAACTTCTAGTACGATATTGAAGAGATATGGAGAGAGAGGTCAGCATTGTCTTGTTCCTGATTTTAGAGGAATTGGCTTAAGTTTCTCTCCATTCAGTTTGATGTTGGCAGTTGGTTTGCTGTATATTACTCTTATTATGTTTAGGTATGTTCCTGTTATCCCTGACCTCTCTAATACCTTTATCATGAAAGGGTGTTGAGTTTTGTCAAGGGCTTTTTCCGCTTCTAGGGAGATAATCATGTGGTTTTTCTTTTTCAGATGGTTTATATGGTGGATCACGTTGATAGATTTTCGTATGTTAAACCATCCTTGCAATCCAGGTATGAAGCCTACTTGATCATGGTGGATGATTTCTCTGATGTATTCTTGAATTCTGTTTGCCAGTATTTTATTGAGTATTTTTGCATCGATGTTCATCAGGCATATTGGTCTGTAGTTTTCTTTCTTGTATCTGTTGAGGTTTGTTATGTCTCCTAGTATGTGGTCGATTTTAGAGAAGGTTCCATGTGGAGCAGAGAAGAAGTTATATTCTTTTGTCTTTGGATGGAATGTTCTATAGATGTTTGTTAACCCCAGTTGAGACATAACTTCTGTTAATTCTTTTGTTTCTTTGTTGAGTTTCTAATTTGTGGTCCTGTCTAGTGTTGAGAGTGGTGAAT